CGTTTTGCATCGTTTAGAAACGTTGTAGTGGTTTTTACATTCTATTTTGTTTTTATTGTTTGTAATTTTTTAATAAATCGAAACACCAAAACGTATAACATGCAAACTGACCACTGATTTACAAGCAAAGAACTGCATATATATTATTATTATATTTTTAAATAGATTTTTTTTTGCATTTTTTGTAGATAATGGCTTGGAACTCTTTGTACGCGAGTCGGACTTGCACTTGTCCGGTTTATTTTATTATAATTCACAATGAAATTGTAAAATTCTATTAATAGTATAAATGAAAATGTTCGTGAGGATGCGCTATATAGCCACGAAATCAGGGTTCTTCCACCGAAGCCCGTCTGTCCTACGCTACTCTGCGTCTTACCTGTCGAGTCTTCGTGGTTCTTTTTGCTGCATTCCGGAGCTGATGTTGGGTCTACACCCTCGCCAGCCTCTGCCCGGTCCGTGACGGTGAGAACGCGCGAACTCGATGTTAAATCTCTTTTTCAACTTTAAAGATAAGTTGTCCCAATAGAAGTTCCAAGGACCACAACAAGCAAATACTGATAAAAAAAAAATAGTTTTCTTCTTTTTTACCTTACGCCTGGGAGTTCTTCGAATATTAAAATGATCTATTCTTATTTCTAAAAATGCATTATATCGATGATTATGCAAGTAAATTACTTGAATTTGTACCAATAGGGATGCACCAATTTGTGTAATCGCCGCAGACGATACAAACTTTAAAAGAGGTTTAATTTATCCTCAACCTCACCTCATGACGCAAAAAAAAACATTGCGTTCGTTGCTTGTTTTATATCAACGCTTTGCGTATATCGATCGGGTGATAATTTGCTTCGTTTTAACTTTATAACGCGCAATGTATAAAAAAATAGAAAAGGCTATCCGAGTTGTGATGGTGTCAGCTGGCACAGGTTCGAGTTCTGGTTCTGGTCATACCTGAATAAGTAAGTACCTACTCTTTTTTGTATACTAGCTTTCCCCCAGCGGCTTCGCCCGTCTGATCCTGTATTATACATAAAAACCTTCCTTTTGAATTACCTTTCTATAAAAAAATGCATCAAATTCCGTTGCGTAATTTTGAAGATCTAAGCATAGAGACAGTAGCTCAGTGGCGTAGAGTATCAGTGCCGCAGCCCGTGATCGTTGTTGTTAAGCAATTTTCGCAAGGGTCGGTCGCGGGATGGGTGTCCAAAAATTATTTTCTCGAGCTACTTCGTGCTTCGGAAGGCACGTAAAGCCGTTGGTCCCGGCTGCATTTGCAGTCGTTAATACCCTCCAATCCGCATTGGGTCAGCGTGGAGGGTCATGGCCCATCCTCCTTAACCATCCATAAGGAAGGCCTGAGCCCCTGCAGTGGGGACGTAATAGGGTTGGTAATGATGATGATGAAGCATAGAGACAGACGACGGAAAACTACTTCGTTTTATTCTATGTATTGATTGTTATTTTTCTTGCTACAGAGCTCCAATAAATGCGTCTACTATAGGGTGAAGCGCGGTTTTTTTATCGGCTCTCGCTCTTATGGGTTCAGCGCCATCAATGGGGGAAGGAGGCGGTGAATTCTTCATTGGATATCACACAGCCTATGTGGTTATGTCAGACTCCTACTGACTAAACACCGCCTTGGACAGTTGGTTGCTTGCCCTGAAGTAGCAACGAACCTTCGACCGGTGCAACCACCACGGGGGAGCACAGACGTCACATTTCATATAGGTGAAATGTGACATCGAAATGTCAGCCGTTAACCATGAAGGGGCTCGGCTTATCGGATTAAAAATACAGCTGACTCCCTGAAGGGGAACGATTAGCCAGATCGGATGGGGGTTGACTTGAAGAGTCGAGGTATGGAGGGCGGGGATTAGCTTTCGCATACGACCAGAAGGGTGCTACGTGATGCGCTTAAAGCGGTCAGGGTTGACCTGAAGGGTCGGAGAGGACAGGAGCGGGATCTGCCGGCTGAGCCACCAGGAGGAGGTCCAGGCCGGCGAAAAGTTTGGACGGGGGACGAAGCGCGGCCTCCGACTTGCTATTTATAGGCACGCGCTGCGTCGCGCCGCGCCTTACGGCCCATACCGCTGCAACCGCTGTCCTTACATTTTGAATCTTTTATATCTTCGAATATTCAATTGAATTACATGCTGTAAAGGGCCATATTGATTTATATTAAATCAACAATGTATTGCTTAAAATCGCTTCGAAAATTAGCCATTATTTATCGTAAAAAGTATATGACAAAAATTTGTTATTGTGGGTTATCTCTAAGAGATAGACATATACCATCGCGGAATTATCCGTAGACCTACTATGGTGTATAGTACATAGTACATTATTTTGATAAATCGATCGTAAGGTTCAGCCTGCGTTTGCGATGTAAGCGGAAAAAATGAAATTATTTACGACATCATATTTGAAACCCAAAAAATTACAGTATTTCTCTACTATGTAATGGATGTTATTATAAATATATGATCTTGAATCACTCTATTTATTTAAAAAAATCGTATCAAAATCCGTTAAGTAGTCTTTAAGATTTAGGATACATAGGGACAGACAAAAAAGCGACTCTATTTTATATTATGTAGCGATGATAAGTATTAGCTTTGGTATTTATGAAATAAAGCGTCGAAAACAGTCTTACTTTTACCTTTTGAAGTATTTTATTTCGAAGGTTTAATTTGATTGAACCTCTAAGGTGCTATTCAGTGCGACACGGACCGTCCGCCATGGATTATCAGATGCGTCCGTCGCGGGTTAATTTTTGAGAGCTCCGCTCCGCTCCAACAGGGCGATTGTGTAAAAATCCGGACCCCAATTCGAAGTCACTGATATGTTCGAATTCACGACATTTAGTGAAGAAATTCTTGTGATTTTTTGTATAAAAATACAAAACATAATTTGATTGACTATACGTGTCTAAGATATTCTATTCCTGTGTCATTTCTAAACTCAATTCACTTATGTTATGACTTATTCAAGATTGAGCGGGTTTGAAGTGATTAGGACACCCGAATACTAATTCGGGTTAGGATTTTTACAGAATCGCAGGGCAGCTTCGTATGGCATTGAACGGACTGTATATGAAACATACATTTTACCGTCTGCCACGGAAATTGGTCTAGGTCATCTGCGTCGCAATGAACCAGGTTTAATACGCTGACAGCGCTGTGTTTGATGCTATGTTCGAAGATATAGATACAGCCTTTAAATATAGGTTTTTTTAACAGAATAAATATTTCAGGGGATTACCTATTTCGCGGGGTGAATTGGCAATCTGAAAGGCAGGTGAAAACCTATTACAGAAACCGGTTTCGAGAAGCGTGTCTATCATGTGCACTCTGGGATAATCTAACTTTGCTTCTATCGCCCTTATAAGTAGGTACTGTAAGACCCGCGTGGATCACTGCTTTTGTTTGTTCTCGCTTCTAAGACTTCATTCAATTAAAAAGTTCTCTCTCAGATTAAAGTATTTTTATATCCAAGAAAAGAGAACTATAAAAAGTAAATTTTAAAACATTAACGGCCAGCATTATCTTATTACATCCAAAGTAAGGTCGGATGTTACAGTACCTATATACCAATAAGTACATCATTACGTATTTAAGAACCTGTTTATGTTTTCCTTTTTATGTAATTTCAAACTTTGTAGTTGTAATTTTGTATCTAGTTATGTTCATCTACATTATGATTTATGCCCCCAAATTGTAGATTTATCTGAAACTGATGAAAATTAAACAAAATTGATGAAATCAAACATACATACTCATTTAATCTAGAACCTCTTTCTTTTTAGTCGGAACTCGATAAAAGCGATCGGTTGGTTTTTTGCAACGCAACTTCATGTAGTTTCTTCTGCGATGATCACCTTTGAAAGGCGAAAGATAAGTAATATGTTTTAAATCTATGACAGCGAAAGGGAGACCTTCGTATCAATTTCTTTCTTAATGTAGTCGCGACTTCTTAAACAACAAATGTTCTACAAAACGGCCCCTTGACTGGAATAAAAATATTGTTTGGGCAAACCATAATTACAACTGGTTGTTTTTCTTCTACGTATTATCTGAAAATGTGACAAACAGAAAATTTGACATCAGTTGTTACTATTGACAAGCTTTTAACCAGCCTTTCGCTTGTATCATTCTCAGCAAGTTGCAGAAACGTCCATTAAAATTGATATTAATGTAAAGCGACATAAAGGCGACATTAAATCTTAATGAACGTTTGTTTGTATATTATTGATAATTGAATTGAAATCAATTGTGTAGTTTGATAGATCCTATTGTTCAGGTAGCGGAAGCGATTTTGTTTTATACATAGATTATTTAAAATTACCAGTATTTAGTTTATTATTATCTTTCATTAGTGTAGGTTATGGATATGCTGACTTATGAAAAGAAAAATATACTTTTTTTTATGAATGAATTTGCATTAATTTTAAACAAAATTTGAAATAGAAAAGCAAAAATATGGCCAATGAAAATCAATATAAATTTACTTTACTACATAATCGAACAGGGAGAATGGACCACGACTCAACACACAGGCTCAGTGCGGATTGGTGGGTGTTAACGGCTGCACATACATCTGGGACCAATGGCTTAATGTGTCTTCCGAGACATGGGCGAGATGGAAATGGTAATTTTTTGGTCACCTTTGTGCTTAAAAGCTTAATTTCATTTAAATTGCATAATAAAGACTTACGACTTAAAACAAATTGAATGAATTGAAAATTAAAGGAATTTGCTTGTCATAAGCATTAATTTCTGTGATATCAATTCAAAACCTATAAGAAAATTATATAAGAAATGTATTTATAATGTATATTTTTTATATAATTTTTGTTAGCGTATATATAAGAATACGTATTAAGCACGTTTCATTAGTAACACTTTATGGGCACATTAATTTCATACTTATTTGGGAGTGCGTAAGGTTCGGAATAATAAGTGCGGTTGTTCCATGTTGATGCCCTTATTGGTTCAGTGGAACCGTGAAAGCCTTACAGGCGTGACGTACCGTGTACGTCAGGAGAGCGCCAACGGAAAGTGAAAATATAAAAATTTCATTTATTAATTTGTCTGCAAGTAAGCAGTTTTAAAATGTACGGTTGGTTACTTGAAAGTGTACAACATTTTATTGTGGTAAGTTGTACAAATAATTTTAATAGATTGTGATTAATAAATATCTACTAATTTAATGATAATTACGTATTTTAGTAAATTTTTCATTCATTGTGATAATTCAATATTTAATTTATGGTACATACAAAAGTCTATTATTATTAAAGGTCAACCAAAAATAAATTGTGAACTTTAAAATCGACTATTAAGGTTTAAAATCAATTGCAGAAGTATGATCTTTTGTAACATTTTATGCTGTCAAATATAACAGCCTGGATTCAAACCCGCGGCCCATCGTTTACTGTGTGATATCTTTTTCAACTAATGAATTGTATAATTTCTTAAACAATTATTAAGGTAAACTCCAATTAATCAGAATGGAAAGCACGCGAAAGAAATAAATTTTAGGATTGTTTGTATGAAAACAAATGAATCGTTAGAATTCTAATGTTACCGGGTTGTCAACTTTTATAAGAAGAAATAGAGTAGGGGAAAAGAGGGCAAGATGGAAGAGCTAATTTAGCATAGTAATAAATAGAAATGTACATGGCTTAAGTATCTTATTTAATTTGTTCTTGAAAGGTAATTAAATAATGAAAACAAATTTCTAATTAACAATAACTATATTCTAGTCAAAAATGAGTTATAACTCGTAAAGTAAATCCCTGAGAAATTCTATCATCCATAGGGCAAAATGGAAACTGAAGGAAATTTGGAACATATAACACAAATTAAAGTTTAGTAATTCATTCATAAAATACAATCATTTTCTAGCTTTCGTCCTTATTTACAATACGACAGACATCATAAGCAGTCTTCTTTAGCTGATTTTACAATTTTTTCTTCGGGAAACTGAGATATAATTATTTCTTTACCTTTCTCTGATATTTTCAATTTATCTCTTCCTTCATATTTCCCTTTGTTTTGACAATAGTATTGTTGTTTCATTGTTATTACTTTAATTTTTTTACTCCTTCCATTTTGCCCTCAAATATAAATTCCCGTCTTACCTGTACGCTTGTATTAATATATCTATAACCTAACGAATATATTACTGTGGTCTATGTATCAATATGTACACTCGGTTTGTAGTATATAATTACTCTCAAAGCAAAATAGTCTTATTTCTTACTTATCTTAAGAAATCAAAGTAGAGAAATCTGACGTTTTTGTAATATTTTCTCCGTAATAAACAAATAGCTGGTACATTTTTAACACACAGCCAGTAGGCTGGAACGAAACGGACTACATGTTGTTCGTAAATCACATTCAGCTACGTGTATCTCTGTATGAAGCAGCACCCGCAATATATCACATTATTTTGTTTATTATAAGAAGTTTCCATTTTGCCCACTCCTTCCATCTTGTCCACCCTTCCCCTATGTCTGGTTATAAACGAGGCAAACAAAGATTTCGGAATTTTATATGAGGGTATCATTTAGTTAACATTTTTAGAAGTATATTTTTGTTTTTTTTTTTGTTAGTTTTTAGGGTTCTGTTCCTGAAGCGTAAAAATAGGACCCTAATACTAATACTCCGCTGTCCGTCTGTCTGTCACCAGGCTGTATCTCACGAATAGTGATAGTTAGCTAACTTATTAGTTACGATAACAGGCAAGCACTATATATGCTGATATATGCGTGACTGATAGAGCGAGTATATTAACATTGTGTATTTATTAATATTTCAACGTCTTATTTTATATATATTATAACGTCTTATTTTAGTTTTGTATATTATAAAATACGTTTACATGATATAGTGTACAACACCCTATTTAAGAGTACGATTGGTAACCCTACCTGTTATTTTTTTAGAGGTGTATAGAAAATTTGTTTCATTTCGCCTCCTTCGGTTCGCATTGCTAATATCGCATTCGGACTGCTCGAACGACTTGCAGGTTGTGTTTATTTAAAACTTAATAAAAATTAAAAGAACAATGGCGGACTTAATGCCTTTGGCATTCTCTAGCAGTCAACCTTAGAATGATGTGGGGAAACCAATGCGAGTAGGGTGCGCAATTAAAATAAACCTCCGCAGCCGAGTGGTTCGCACGCCGGTTCAAGGTCCCGGGTCCCATCTCTGAGGTCCCGTGTTCGATTCCCGGTCGGGTCAATGTAGAAAATGAACTTTTCTTTATTGACTCGGGTCTGGGTGTTGTGGTACCTTCGTTGTCTCAGATACTCCATAATACGGGGGCTTTAGCTACTCATATTGGAATCTGAGCAATGTATGTGATGTTGTTAAATATTTATTTATTTATATTCATTTATTTAAAGGTCTATTAACAAAATATACAGACAGATTATGTATTATGTACATATATGATATAAAATAATCAACATTCTATTAATATTATAAATGTGAAAGTTTCTTTGTTTGGATGTTTGTCCGTCAATTACGCCGAAACTACTGAATGGATTTTTATGAAATTTGGTATACAGATAGGGTATTAGCTGACTTAGATAATAGTACCCTTTTTATATCACTAAACATTTCCCTTGCGACCACGCGTACGAAGCCGCTAGCGAAAGCTAGTAATCAAACATAAACTAATAAATAAAGACGATTAGCCATTAGATTGGTCTGCCTTTTTAGATAAATAGCTACGTAATTTGATTTTAAACATGTACTTACTGGTACACACTCAGATATCTAAGGTTAGTTCATTCGACAAATGGATAGCTTTAACGAGGGAGGAAGAATGAATAATGTCAGAACATTGTGCGGACAGGTAAGCGAACGATTGGAAGATGAGCGTAGTGTTTTAATGTGAGCGTCACATAGATACTGAAAATGAGATGTGAGAATGCTCCTTGCATTTGGAGAGTCATAAAAAACAGAGTGTTAACAACTCGCATATTCTTTCGCTGTTGAATTGCATTTGTGATGAAATAGATACGAAGAGATATGGTCATAAAAGGGCTGATGATGATGGTCATATTTCGGGTGTCGACTTGAGATAGGACATGTTTTTTGTGATAAAAGAGTTGAAATATGGAATTGAAGTTTGTTATTGTCAAAGACAACACCATTAAACTTTATTTGAAGTATTTAACATGATATAATTAATGAAATATTCGTTTTAGAACTGCTGTTCCAAGTAAATATACCATTATACCATTATACCAATATACCATTCGGACGAAGTCGCAGGCAAAAGCTAGTTTATTATATTTGACCAATTTTGCATTCACTATGCTATACTGAAAAATAATTTTAATGAAAAACATTCTTAACTAGCTGAATCGGTGAACTTCGTATTACTTACCTCTTAATAAAAACCATATAATAGGGTTATAATTATAATTAGGGTTTAAATTAATAATGTTTTCGTGTACTAATAACTATAATGGATACAGCATGTCTTTTTATTCACGTGCTGTCAAGACGTATACCTTAGATTAAAAAATATTGCGTATACTGACCAATGCACGACCATAAATATTGATCGTCAACTGAACGTTTGACAGCTAAGATTGTATGGGAAAATCAAATTGTCGTTTTTAGTATTATACTCGCAATTTTGCTATATTTTCCCATCGTTTAAACCTTCCCAGGACTTCCACGAATATTTCAAGACTAAAATTTGTCAAATCGGTTCAGCCGTTCTCGAGTTTTAGCGAGACTAACGAACGGAAATTCATTTTTATTTATATATAGATAGATGAAGAGTGCCAGGGACTAAGTGGATTTTTTAATCGTTTTCATTAAGAATATTTTTCAGTATAGAATACTAAATCGATCAAATGTAATAATTAGATAAAAATTTCGACTTTATAGAAAGTTTAAATATTTATATAAATATTGTTTTCGTCTGTTTAGGTGGATTGTCTGAACATTGACGAAAATATGCTCAGTAGTAGTGAAGAAGTAACATAAGTGCTTGAAAAATTCGTCAGTACTGTTAGATAGGTAGCTTAGTGGTTAGAGCAGTCGCTCGGATTGCGAAAGTTTACGGGTTCGTGTCTTATCTCAGAGTGCTAGGGACAAAGTGGATTTTTTAAGCATTTTGCATTGAGAATAGCTGTTATTTTCAAATAAGGTACTGTCGCCTAAAAACGCCCAATATTTTCAACCGCTGGAGTGCTAAAAAACTAACTAGCACATATTTCAATAGCAGTAGATACACACTGATAGATCTTTAAGGACGGTATAATGAAATTTGAAGCTGTATCAGATGGTTTTTTAGCGGCTATAGCGGTCAAAAACAGTGGGCGTTATTAGGCCACAATATCTTATATTTAAACTGTCTATCTATATATCTATATCTTAACGCCATATCCGAACGCCGTGTACGGTCCTTACGTACATCTTTCGCCTCATTCACTTTCATTTATTTAAGTTGTAATATTGAATTAAATAGATGAATCGCTTTAATGATAATGATATATAAAATACCATATCTATGTTATTTACTAAAAAGGGCCTAACAAACAGACATTTATATTTTTTAAGTTTGATATATGAGGACTTAAAATTACTTGGGTCGGTAATAACTTCTTTTGTGGGTAGGTAATAATTTATACCTGTACTGCTCTGTTTTTATGATGAAAATGACCATCATGGGAATGATTAACTTAATTTGACCATTTTTGTAATAAATGTCGTTATAAAAAACAACATCAAATTAGCTTAGATTTAAAATTAACAAGTTACAATATGAAATTGTGAAAATGCCGTTATGCGAGTTTCCAATTTAGTTTGTAATAGTAATACCATTAGCTATACAGGTATATAATTTTAAAGTGAAATCTCCTGAGAAATAGAAAATTACAAATAAGTCAGTTTTACCTACAAATCTTTTCTCGCAATATTTTAGAAAATTATACTACTTACCTACAATCAAACCTCTTTCAATAGATTTTTTTTTGTCTGCCAAAAGTCAATCTATTTGTTCTTTCTTAAAAATCATATATAAAAAACAAACTTCTTTTGAAAGAGGTTGTTATCGACAACAATGTACAGTCAAAAGCACGTTAGGCTATACAAAACTGTCACATTTCTCCATTTGGAATCGT